AGCAACACGTCCGGGCCGCCTTTGTCTCCCCAGCGGCGATGTTTACACACTCATTTGCGGCCCGAGCCGACCTAGTGGAGGCCCATGACCGGTACAGACAATCGTCACCGGTGTCGTTTTCCGTGAGCCGGGGGAATCGAACTCGGGTCGCCGGGTTCGTAGCGCAGCGTAGCGCTGGACCGCTACTACACCACCGCTCCCCACACAGAGACGCACACACGCCACGTGCTGTTGATGCCGCGGTGCCGTGCCCATGCGCGCCCCTGCCGTATTTATTTCTCTCCTTAGATGTAATTTACCCAGGGAGGGAGGGAGGAGGAGAAGGAGGAGGAGGGGGAAAAAATATCGCCGGGTATCATCACGCGTGATTGATGGAGGCCGTCGTGATTCAGCCGTAGCTCGCCTGCCTAGGGGGTAATGTGTGGCCCCGTGGTGGCGGAGGGAGCGGTGGCGCAGCGGTTAGCGCCGGTTGAGACCCGCGATCCGATTCCCACGCTCGCGGACAATCGCGGCGAATGTTATTTGAGCCGGTGCCCTGGGCGAAGGGCTGAGGTCGACTCAATGAGTGCCGTGCCCGGCGCGCTGACAGCACTTGGCCCCAACAGTCTGTTAAAGGCTACGGGGGGTATCTTTGTCTTTGCCATGGTTGTTGTTGTTGTTGTTGGTGGTGCTGGTGGTGGTGGTGACGATGACAGTTGTGGTGGCTGATAACGGTGGTAGTGGTGATGCCGGTAGTGGTGGTGGCAGCGGTGGTGATGGTGGAAGCGGGGAGCGGTGGTGGAGCGGTTCGCGTTAACCGCGCGACGAACCACGTGACCCGGGTTCGATTTCCCCGCTCACGGCCAACACCGACCGGTGACGGCTATCTGAAGCGGTCATGGGCCTCTCCTAGGTCGACTCAGCCTCAAATGAGTACCTGGTGCGGTGTTTAGTAAACATCGCCACCGGGTAGACAAAGGCGGCCGGGCGTGGTTCCTGGCCCACCCACCCCCTCGTGTGCCGTGCAGGCCTTCATAGGTGCTACTCGCTGACAGCACTTGCCCCAACAGGCTGCTAAGGCTACAAGGGGGGATCTTTGTCTTTGGTGGCGGTGGTGGCGGCGAGCCGCAGGGCATAAATTTCGCGCTAAACAAATCGGTCTGCCTCCACCAAAATGAAAAAAAAAGTAAAAAATATAATAAAAATGACAAAGGAATAGGTGGGGATATGGGCTGGCGAAAAAGCATCGGCGAGCACGGAACAATATATTTTGCGGGAGATCATTATCAGTGGCGTGCGGTGGTCGTCTTTCCCCAGTGTCATCCAGGACACGTAGCGGGTAGAGGCGCAGCCCTTCAATAGCCCGCCGCTGACACAAGTTGCCTCGCCAATGCAGCTCGAGCTCAATGAGAGCCCCTTTCTGATCTTCCTCCTCCCTGATCCCTCCTCCCTGACCCCTCATTCCTTCCCTCCTCCCCCCTCCCTCCCTCCCTCCCTCATTCCTTCCCTCCTCCACCCTCCTCTCTCCCTCCTCTCTCCCGCATCCCCCCTCCCTCCTCCCCCTTCCCTCCTCCCTCCCTCCCTCCTCCCCCCTCCCTCCTCCCCCCTCCCTCCTCCGTCCCTCCTCCTCCCCCCTCCCGCATTCTCCCTCCACAATTCTCCTCCCACCTCCTCCACCTCCCTCTCCCTCCTCCCCCGTATAGAGAGTAAAACACTTGTTGTTATTGTTGTTTGTTGTTATTGTTGTTGTTTGTTGTTCTTGTTGTTCTTGTTGTTGTTCTTGTTTTTGTTGTTCTTGTTATTGTTGTTCTTTGTTGTTCCTGTTGTTTGTTGTTCTTGTTGTTTGTTGTTGTTTTTGTTGTTATTGTTGTTTGTTGTTATTGTTGTTTGTTGTTGTTCTTGTTATTGTTCGTTGTTGTTTGTTGTTGTTCTGGCCGTTGATCTTCTTGTTGTTATTGTTGTTTGTTGTTGTTCTTGTTGTTGTTTTTGTTCTTGTTTTTATTGTTGTTCTTGTTTGTTGTTATTGTTGTTCTTGTTGTTTGTTGTTGTTCTTGTTGTTGTTCTTGTTTTTTGTTGTTTGTTGTTGTTGTTGTATCTTGGTCTTCTCTTCCACGCCGAGCCAGCGCGCCTCGCAAGATGTGAAGATCGCATCCCGCATTGTTACCCCAACACAACAACCGCCGGATGGAGAGAGCGAGAGAGAGAGAGAGAGCACAACATCGCTGCACCACCTGGGGGTGTTCCTCGGACCAGAGGAGGAACCACCGCAGAGGAACCGGGTCGAGCTGGAGGAGAAGGTGAAGGAGCGGCTGGGCACCTGGAGTCGCCTGTGCAAGTTCCTCACCTTCAGGCCAAAGACGTTGGTGGTGAACCAGCTGGTGACGTCCATGCTGTGGCATCGGCTTTACGCCCTGCACCCCCCCCATGAGCCTCGTCAACGCACTTCAGAAGCGAGTCCTCGACTTCTTCTGGTCGGGTGGAGGACACCGGAGTCGCGGCTGGGGTCCTGGCCCTGCCACTGGACGAGGGCGGTCACGGGCTGGTGTGTGTCCGGAGTCAGCTGGCCACCTTCCGACTGCAGGCCGCGCAAAATTCATGCACGCCGCCCCTGCACCGGCCTGGAGCGTCACGGCCTCCTTCCTCCTGAAACAGCTGGGGGGTCTGCATTGCTCCAAACAACTATTCTACATGGACCTGCAGGGCCTCCCACTGGGACAGCTGCCACCTTTCTACAGGAACGTCCTGCAGACGTGGAGCTCCCTCGCCGTCAGGAAGCTGAACCAGCCACGAGGATCTGGTCTTCGAATTGATCCTCAGGAACCCACAGACAAAGCCGCCATCAACCACCGCCACCCCAGGCATGGAGAGGCGCCTCGCCAACGCGCGGCTCACCAGGATGGGAGATCTGGTGGAGCCTGAAACACGGGGCCGGTGGCTCAGACCAGCAGACATGGCCGCAATGACAGGGGGGCTGCAGGCGGTCCGGGTGGCTGCCCGGATCCTGGCCGAAGCCAAGGGGGCCTTCTCAGCGGCAGCGATGGGGAGAACGCCCCCCATCGGCGTTGGGGATGACGAGGCCCCTCTCGGTCCCCCTTCACCGGAGCTCTCAGTAGTGGCACTGCATCGCCAATGCCGACAAACGAAGGCGGATCACAACCTGTGCCGGCTGGAAGATCTGCCGGAGGTGGCCTTCACAAATGTAAAGAGGAAGGTGCTCTACTCCTACATGGTCCGGTATCACCAACAGGACACCCTGAGGAGCCACAAGGACCATGCCTGGAGGAAAGCCCCGCCCTGCGTCTCTCCGGAGAGGCCTCGCTGGAGGCAACTCTACTGCAGACCGACATACAACCGCATCGGGAACTTCAGCTGGAGCATCGTCCATGGCACCGTCACCACCAACGTGTCCCTGGCGCGCTTGACCGACACGTCCCCGGAGTGCCGGTCCTGCGGTAAAGTGGAGACGGTGGCGCACCAATACGTGGAGTGCAAGAGCCTGGACTCGCTGTTCAAGGTCCTGAGAAACATCCTCCTAAGGTTCAGCATCCACTTCTCCCCGACGGTCCTCATCTTTGGATACCCGAAGGGCGACGGACCCCAACATCTTCAGGGGCCGGTCAACGTGCTCTTCGGCTACGCCAAGCTCACCATATACAGGGCAAGGAAGGTGGCCCTGGAGGGGCAACGTCCGGCCAGCAGCCTGGGCATCTTCCGCGCTCTGGTCGGAGCCATGGTGTGTGGCTGGAGTTCCGCCGTGCGCGGCTGACCCACGCCGTGCCGGCCTTCAAGGAGCGGTGTGTGCTGGAGGAGGCCGTGTGCTCGGTGGCAGAAGATGGAGAGCTCTGCATGCAGATATAAGCTGCCCGTCGGAGGCCGTAGGACTGCGAGAAGGGCTGCGTGCAGATGCAGCACTTGTCGTAAAAAATATTTGAAAAATAATAATATTACAAATATTACATAGAAAACATAGGGGGAACATAGACATGGAGTAGAGAGAGAGAGGGGGGAAAGAGAGGAGGGGGTAGAAAGAGGCAGTAGAGAGAGAGAGGGAAGGGGTAAGGAGAGCAGAGCGTGAAATCTATTGTGAAAAAACTCGATTTGGTGCTTTCGTGACTGCAGGAATAAATCTTTGTTTTTTTCGGTAAAGTCACGTAGAAATAAGAAAAAATAAAATTACATAATATACGACGTTTCCATTGCAACACAAGCAATCATCATCAGGTAGAGGAAACACATAACCGCAGATATATATATACAGACCTTAAGTAGAGGGAATTAACACGGAAATAGTGTATTCAACCAGACCATGCGTTAATTGTTTTTTAACCGACCGTCTGTGTTGCTTTACATAGTTTCCAAATTTTGCTAAACCCTGTTTGATTTTATGTGATGCTCCGTCTCTCTGTATCCCCTGGTATATCTGTGTTAATTCCCACTACTTAAGGTCTGTATATATATATCTGTGGTTATGTGTTTCCTCCACCTGATGATGATTGCTTGTGTTGCAATCGAAACGTCGTATATTATGTAATTTTATTTTTTCTTATTACGACGTGACTTTACCGAAAAAATCAAAGATCTATTGTGAAGCCTTTCATTTTTAAAAGGGGGGGGGGGGGGGTTACGTAAAGTAAAGCATTAAAAAAACCGAAATGATGAACGAAGCAAAGTGGCGACTACACCGATAATCTTCTTGTTTCCTCTGATCGTAAAAAAAAAGAGAGCGAGAGAGACTTGACTTTTAAAAACTTTTATTGCCGCCGGCGGCAACAACACTGGAGGCAGGCAATTCCGATACGAACCACATAAAGCCACCAGCAACACAAATAACAAACACTGTAAATCCACGCGCTGTGGCGATAAATGCGCTGCGCACAACACAAAATAAAAGCCACGTGGTGGTGGTGGTCATCGCGCACGCCACGGTGACGAGCGAGCGCTTCAGAAGGTGAACACGAGGGTGCTGTCCACGCTGGTACAGAGGGCTTTTCTGGCCCCGCAGTGTTCGAAGAAGACGCGCTGCACATCACCGACACGCGTGTGTGGTACGTGGCGTGCTCCAGCCGGAGCCGCGCCTTGAGCAGGCCCCTGAACACTGGAAGCAGCACAGAGCAGCCGTCAGTGTCACCTTGCAGCGTCTTTTCTTCTCGTTCTGTACACTGCAATCTTCGCCTAAGCACAGGCGAAGTTGGCGAGGTCACGGAACTTGTTAGCCAGGTAAGGCACCACCCCATATACAAAGCTGCTGTTGTAGAAGGGCACCCCCAGTATCCTGAAGATATCCCCCAAAAGGCGTACCACTGATTTGAGCCACTGGCAGCGTAAGTACTGGTGGGGCAGATCCTCCCTGGCACTGCAGGAAATGCACCAAGTCTGTTACCCCTGGCGAGATTCGGCTGAGCCACACGACCGGTGGCAACGTGCAGCGTGCCAACCTCCACTGGAGGTCACCGCAGCGTTTGGCTACGGGAGACTTTGTACATTTGTTTCCACTGGGGGGTGGCCGCAATGAGGCGAGAGAAATGGTCTCTCTGTTTTGTGTCCGGTAGGTCGGCCAGGTCCCGGGAATCCAGCGCCTTGACACAGCCACGTGTAGAGCGCTGTGCTTGGGGCACTCTTCAGGGGCACGTTCCTGCAACCTCGGAGCTTCAGTAGCTTACCGGAGTCGCTGTGGCCTGGAGGCTGCATGCAGGAGACGCACAACTCCGGGAATAAGGAGGGGAGGGGGGGTAGTAGAGCCGCTACCGTCCCCTGACACCTCCAGCTTCAGGCGCAGCTCCTTCATGGCGCGGAGCGACGTCCCGCAGCAGCTTCTCCCCGGCGAGCATGGAGCGGAGTCCCGCGGTGCTGGCGATCTCAGCTGCGGTCTTCCACTTAGGCTGGTGGGCCTGTACGAGGTCGAAGACTGTCCGCAGCCCTGCTGATGTGAGGCGTAGAGGCAGGGTCATCTCTCCTCTGATCCCCTGGAAGAGGTCGTTGCAAAACACGGGTTCGTTCAGGAACTGCGGAAGGTCGTAGGGCGCGCACATTCTGCTCGACTCGAAGCTCCGCAAGGCGACCAAGATACTCTGGTGATAAGCTTGAAGCCTCGTGTACTCGATCATGCTCAGGACCATCAGGAAGAGCCCTTTCCGTACCCCAGGCACACCCCCCCCCCCCCCCCGGCGACTTCCAGGGTCGCTCCTCTCGGTCGTACAGTAGCCGCCTGACGGCCATGAGCCTGAAGCTCATTACCCTGAAGGCGACGTCCACCAGACCCTGGCCGCCCTCGCCCACCAGACCCTGGCCGCCCTCGCCCACCGGCAGGCAGACGACGCCCGGCCTGAGCCGGTGCTTTCTGTGCCAGACGAAGTGCGCGAGTGAGCGGTCGACTCTGGTGAGTAGCCAAGCAGGAGGCTGGAGGGCCTTGGTCTTGTGCCACAGCACGGATGCTGCCAGGGTGTTATCGACGAACACTCGGCCCCTGAAGGACATCTGTGGAGCGAGGCGAGCCCAAGTCAGTAATTTAGCCTCGATTGTATCAGCCAGCTCGGTCCATTTGTTTAGAGCGACGTCACGTGGTTTCCCCAGGTAAACCCCCAGGTACTTGACTCAGTCGTCCTGCCAACTGGCTCCTCCTGGGAGAAGCACAAAGCGAACGCCGCCTCGTGACCCCAAACACAGTGGGGGGCCTCGCACTTGGCCCAGTTAACCCTGGCGGAGGAGGCCCTCTCATACACTGCAACCGCCTGGCAGAGCGCGGAGACGTCATGCGCGTCATTGAGCACGACGCATCACGACGTCGTCTGCGTAAGCCAAGAGCTTAACAACCGCGTTCTCAGGTCCCGGGACCTTGAGGCCAGACAGGTTTCGTCTCAGGTGGCGTAGCAGTGGCTCAACGGACAGGGTGTACAGCAGCCCCGAGAGGGGGCATCCCCGTCTGACCCCCCTCGTCACAGGGAAAGGGGCGCCGAGCCGCTGGTTTATCTTCAAGAGGCTGGATGTGCCCCCGTGTACAGGAGCCTCACGTGCGAGATGAAGGCCTGGCCGAAGCCGAGCGACGTTAGGAGTTTGTCCACGGTGCTCGTGGCTCACCCTGTCAAAGGCCTTCTCCTGATCTAAGAAGTGGAGGCCCAAGTCCATGTCGTGTGCCTCTACAAGGGAGATTATGGTCTCTGACCGTACCAATGTTGTCGTATATGCACCCGCCGGGGATGCAATACGACTGTTCCGGCAGGATCAGCTGACCCAGCACTGTCTTGAGACGGTTTTCCAGCACCTTGGAGAAGATTTTGTAGTCGGCGCACAGGAGAGATGCGGGTCGCCAATTCTCGATGAGGTGCAGGTCCCCCTTCTTGGGTAGCAGGGAGACCACCGCTCTCCCGCAGCACTGTGGGAGTTCCCCCTTCTGCAGGGCTCTCCGTCAACAATTGCAGTAGTGGTGGGCCAAGCTCATCCCAGAAGGTAGGCCTCGGCAAGGTTAAAGGTAAAAACAACGAGCCAACCTTTACCCGACCTTTTACCTTACCACAATACAATCACTCTACCCTTACCTTTTACCCTTTAGCAAGGTAAGGTAAAAGGTCAATAGCAACGAGACTACCTTAACCCTACCTTTTACCCTTACCACATATAAATTACCCGATTACAGGGTAATTACTGGGGTACTACACATGAAAAAGGTTTATAACATGTAAATGCTAGGTAGAGCGCTTTATTGTGTCTGTTCTAAATGTTTAGAATACTTCCCGACATGCAACAAACTTGAAATTTGCCATGTGGGCAGCTTTCAGGCTGTACACAATGCAAAAAATATGAAAAATGACTTTTGTATATATATATTTTTTTGGGGGGGGGCGCAATAATGGATATATTTTGCACGGCAAGTGAGCGGTGACCCCCCCCACCCTCTACGTAGGCCATGTATTAATCCAAAACAAGAATCCAAGTCTCGGGCGAAGCCGGGTAGTAAAACTAGTTGTAGAAGATTCTCGATTATTCCAATTTTAAATGGAGTCCAGGGACTGCGCCACGGAGCTTTTAGCGAGCGGTTAACAAGGTATTTACTGGGTAATACTTTGTGCTACCTTTACCTTACCCTTTACCTTACCCCTTGGCATGTCGACATCTTTACCTTTACCCTTTTACCCGGTAAAAAGGGTAAATTACCTTACCTTGCCGAGGCCTACCAGAAGGCCACGCTAAACTCAATCGGCAGGCCGTCAAATTCCGGGGCTTTACCAGCTGCGAGTCCTTTCACAGCGGTGTGGAGCTCCTGCAGTGGAGGGGGTGGAGGGAGTGGTGGGAGGGAGTGGAGGGAGGGGATGGAGGGAGTGGACGGAGAGAGTAGAGGGAGGGAGGGAGTGGAGGGAGGGGATGGAGGGAGTGGATGGAGGGAGGAGAGGGAAGGAGGGAGTGGAGGGAGTGGATGGAGGGAATGGATGGAGGGGATGGAGGAGATGGAGGGAGAGGATGGAGGGAGGGGATGGAGGGAGGGGATGGAGGGAGTGGAGGGAGGGAGGGGATGGAGGGAGGGGATGGAGGGAGTGGATGGAGGGAGTGGATGGAGGGAGTGGAGGGAGGGGATGGAGGGAGTGGATGGAGGGAGTGGATGGAGGGAGTGGAGGGAGGGGATGAAGGGAGTGGATGTGGGGAGTGGATGGAGGGAGTGGATGGAGGGAGTGGAGGGAGGGGATGGAGGGAGTAGATGGAGGGAGGGGATGGAGGGAGTGGATGGAGGGAGGGGATGGAGGGAGTGGATGGAGGGAGTGGAGGGAGGCAGTGGAGGGAGGGGATGGATGGAGGGGATGGAAGGAGGGAGTGGAGGGAGGGAGTGGAGGGAGGGGATGGATGGAGGGGATGGAGGGAGTGGATGGAGGGAGTGAAGGGAGGGAATGGAGGGAGTGGATGGAGGGAGTGGAGGGAGTGGAGGGAGGGGATGGAGGGAGTGGATGGAGGGAGTAGATGGAGGGAGTGGAGGGAGTGGATGGAGGGAGTGGAGGGAGTGGATGGAGGGAGTGGATGGAGGGAGGGGATGGAGGGAGTGGATGGAGGGAGTGGATAGAGGGAGTGGAGGGAGGGGATGGAGGGAGGGGATGGAGGGAGTGGAGGGAGGGGATGGAGGGAGTGGAGGGAGTGGATGGAGGGAGTGGAGGGAGGGGATGGAGGGAGTGGAGGGAGGGGATGGAGGGAGTGGAGGGAGGGGATGGAGGGAGTGGATGGAGGGAGTGGATGGAGTGGAGGGAGTGGATGGAGGGAGGGGATGGAGGGAGTGGAGGGAGGGAGTGTAGGGAGTGGATGGAGGGAGTGAATGGATGGAGGGAGTGGAGGGAGTGAATGGAGAGAGTGGAGGGAGTGGATGGAGGGAGTGGATGGTGGGTGGGAGTGGAGGGAGTGGATGGAGGGGATGGAGGGAGGGAGTGGAGGGAGGGGATGGAGGGAGGTGATGGAGGGGATGGAGGGAGTGGATGGAGGGGATGGAGGTAGGGGATGGATGGAGGGAGTGGAGGGAGTGGATGGAGGGAGTGGAGGGAGTGGATGGAGGGAGTGGAGGGAGAGGATGGAAGGAGTGGAGGGAGTGGATGGATGGAGGGAGTGGAGGGAGTGGGATGGAGGGCTGCCCCAGTTGCCCCTCGTTTTTATTTTTCAATAGAGCCGTCGACTTTCGCCCTACTGGCAAGGCAGGCGGGCGGGGAGACAGGGAGCTTGGGAATGAGATGTGATATCGCCTTGACGCTCAACCATTGTGATTTATTCCCGCTCCTCCGTCCTGCAAGGGGCGTTATTAATCCTCGAGGCCCGCGACGGGAGTCTTTTTTTTGTTTGTTTCTCTCTGAGTTGCAGCTCGATCGCACGCTGCTGCTGCTGCTGCTGGTGATGATGATCAAGTCCAGTGTCGTCGCTGCTACGTGTGTTACATGGGTATGTGAATATCCCCCAACACCACCACCACCACCACCGTACCCCCCGCTATTGTAACCCCCTGCTCATCCCCCTCCACCGCCACCCCCCCCCCCCATATTCAGCCAGCCCCCCACTCCCTGTCTTTCGGAGACCAACTAAACAATTATAATCTGTGGTGTCCGTCACTGTCCGTGTCTCTGTCAGTGGGATTCTGTGCACGTGCGTGGTTCCAAGTATTTTTTCGTTCTCATAATGATCATCAGCAGCAGCAGAGTCATTGTCGTCATCAGCAGAGTCATCATTGTTAATCCATAATCATCATCATCAGCAGAATAATCATCATGGTCATCATCAGCAGAATCATAATTACTAATCCATAATCATCAGCAGAATAATCATCATCATCGTCATCAGCAGAATCATCATTATTAATCCATAATCATCAGCAGCAGCAGAATAATCTAATCGTCATCAGCAGAATCATCATTATTATTCCATAATCATCAGCAGCAGCAGAATAATCATAATCGTCATCAGCAGAATTATCATTATTAATCCATAATCATCATCAGCAGCAGAATAATCTTAATCGTCATCAGCAGAATCATCATTATTAATCCATAACCATCATCAGCAGCAGCATAGTCATCATCGTCATCAGCAGAATCATCATTATTAATCCATAATCATCATCATCATCATAAGCAGCAGAATCATCATCGTGATCAGCAGAATCATCATTATTAATCTATAATCATCATTAGCGGCAGGAGAATCATCATCGTCATCAGCAGAATCATTATTATGAATCTATACTCATCATCAGCAACAGAATAATCATCATCGTCATCAGCAGAATCATCATTATTAATCCATAATAATCAGCAGCAGAATAATCATCATCATCGTCATCAGCAGAATCATAATTATTAATCTGCAATCATCATCATACGAAAATGATCATTGCCATCATCATCATCATAATTTCCTTTTGGGTGGCTAAAATGCATACCCACCTGTTGAGGATGCAGCACTACACAGCGTGCTTCAAAACAATGTTACCACACGCATGGGACTATCGTTTATCATGTGAAAAGAACGCACGATGATAATAATACAATGCGACACGATAACAATAGGTTCATAGCTTCAAAAAGTCAAAGAGTCTCTGACCACTCGTTCGCCATCGTGGTCAACGCATGGCCTGGAATCTTCTCCAGCTGATCTCGGACAGTACATTTCTTTGTGGCGTAGTTGGAAAGTCTCCCAAGTGTTCACATTTTTTTGAAGCAGTCCTGTAAGACCCGCCCCTCCAACCGCCCGTCATAGGAATGTGGACTTTCCAACACTGCCCTCAGGGCCACCGTCAGAGTGGAGACTGCCTCGCAAAGGATACATCGGAGGAGCGGTGGTGCAGCGGTTAGGGCACCGAGATCTGAGTTCTACGCCCGGACACGGCCCACGTCAGCAGCGAGCGATGATAGCCGGATGCCTTGGTTTCCTGGGCGGACTTGGGACATCCACCGACCTGCCACTGACCAACTCTGGTGAAGTATGGTCAAGCATCCTCTGTGATTGACATTGCGTGGGTGGGGAGGGGGGGGTGTCTTCAATGATTTATTGGCATGAAAAAAAAAATTAGACTGATTAGTCAATGTGTTATGTAATATCTTGATTTGAAGCTTTCGTGACTGCAGGAATCCATACTCGTTGGTTCTTTCGGTGAAGTCACGTGGGTAGGTAAGAAAAATAAAATAAAACAAAAAATATAAAATATCACGACACTTCGATCGCAACGCAAGCGGTCGTTCTCAGGCGGGGAAAAAAAAATCATCCAGCGAGTTAGAACATAAATAACCTCTTGTTATATATTCTTATTTCTTTCGGTAAAGTCACCACGTAGAAGGGAAACAATAAAATAATAAAATATATATATAAAACAATACAAATTTCTCACGACGTTTCGACCATAACACAAACGGTCACCTGATGACGACCGTTTGTGTTATGGTCGAAACGTCGTGAGAAATTTTTATTGCTTTATATATATTTTATTATTTTATTGTTTCCCTTCAACGTGACTTTACCGAAAGAACTAAGAATATGAATTACTGCAGTCACGAAAGCTTTAAATCAAAATGTAACCTCTTGTTGTATTTCGATTGAAAGCTTTCGTGACTGCAAGGATTCATCTTCTTTGGTTCTTTCGGTAAAGGTCACCACGTAGAATGAGAATAAAATTATAAATTTGATAAAATAAAATAACGCAATTAAATTCTCACGACGTTTCGGCTACAACACAAGCGGCCTTCATCAGGTGAAGGGGACGAGACTGCCTGGAGGACCTGTTGATGATTGCTTGTGTTGTGGCCGAAACGTCGTGAGAATTTTATTGTGTTATTTTATTTTATCAATGTATTATTTTAATCTCATTCCACGTGGTGACTTTACCGAAAGAACCAAAGAAGATGAACCTCTTGTTGTATTCTTGGTTCTTTCAATAAAGTCACGTAGAAGGGAACCAACAAAATAATAAAAATATAAAACAATAAAATTCTCACGACGTTTCGACCGCAACACAAGCAATCATCATCAGGTGTGAAAACCACAGCAAGAAAATTTGAAAAAAAAAAGTGGCGATTTTTTAACGTTAAAAAACCGCCACTTTTTTTTATCAAATTTTCTTGTTGTGGTTTTCACACCTGATGATGATTGCTTGTGTTGCGATCGAAAAGTCGTGATATTCGTTTTTTTTTCCTACCTACGTGACTTTACCGAAAGAACCAAAGAGTATGTAATATCTAACTTATCTTTTTTTATTTTTTTAAATGAAATACCCACAGAATCCGTTCGTCGGCACCGGGGTTCGATGTCGCACCCCGAAGACGTGGAGTTCGATCCGCAGCCACGGCTCACGACAGTCGCATGCAAACCCCCACAACTCGCGATGACCAGCGCGGTGAAGTATGGTCAGCCAACCCTTTACCAATCGACACGGTATTGGAGGGGTGGTGGTGGTGGTGGTATATCGTCCTCTATAAGTGGATTGACAATGGCCTGGCAATGTACATCAGTATTATAATGAATGTCGCTATCTGACATGCATTGGTATCTATCTTGGCGCAGTATACGTGTGGCCGTGTACACAGTGCACAATGTTATCACTGACCCACACCACACACACACACATGCAAAGACACAGATCCCCCGTATAGCCTGTAGCAGACTGGAGGGGCAAGTGCTGCTAGCGAGCACCTATGAAGGCCGGCACGGCACACGAGGGGGTGGGTGGCCAGCACCACGCCCGACCGCCTTTGTCTCCCCAGTGGCGATGTTTACACACCGCGCCAGGTACTCATTTGAGGCTGAGCCAACCTAGAAGAGGCACAGGACCGCTTCAGATAATCGTCACTGGGTGTTGGCCGTGAGCGGGAATCGAACTCGGGTCGCCAGGTTCGTAGCGCTAACCGCTACACTACCGCTCCCCACAAAACACAAACACAGACACATGTACACACACACAGACGACACACAAAACACACACACTCACTAAATAATGAAATAACGCCAGCTCGTAAAACTAATTTAAAATCGCTTCCACCGTGACACCGATCACTCAAACACAACTGCACGGGGCAATAACTAATTTACGGCGAGACTAGTGGGAAGGGAGGGAGGGTGGTGGTAGTGGTATAGTGGTGGTGGTGGTGGGGTCAATGGTCAATGGTTATCTGCAGAAAAAGCAAGCGCGGCCGCAGTGACGGGTTCGTTCGACTCCGCGGGCGACAGAGGCTCAAGATGTCAGAGACGAGGAAGCCGGCACCGATGAACACCTGGGTTCGAAGCCGGGTTCCAGTCGCTGCCTGTGGTTAAAGCGGTTCTCTCTCGCGCGGTGAGTTGATGGTCTCAGCCCGGTAACCGGGGGACTCGCATGGAGATCAGAACACTCACGCAGAGACGCATAGACTCACACAGAGACCCATAGACTCACGCAGAGACCCATATACTCACACAGAGACCCATATACTCACACAGAGATCAATAGACTCACACAGAGACCCATAGACTCACACAGAGACCCATAACACAGAGACCCATAGACTCACACAGAGACCCATATACTCACACAGAGACCCATAGACTCACACAGAGATCAATAGACTCTCACAGAGACCCATATACTCACACAGAGATCAATAGACTCACACAGAGACGCATATACTCACACAGATCAATAGACTCACACAGAGACCCATATACTCACACAGAGATCAATAGACTCACACAGAGACCCATATACTCACACAGAGATCAATAGACTCACACAGAGACCCATAGACTCACAGAGAGATCAATGAACTCACACAGAGACCCATAGACTCACACAGAGACCCATAGACTCACACAGAGATCAATAGACTCACACAGAGACCCATATACTCACAAAGAGACCCATAGACTCACACTGAGACCCATAGACTCACACTGAGACCCATAGACTCACATAGAGTCCCTTAGACTTATGTAGACGGAGTTGTGATGTGACACCGTGTTCTCAAGTACAGCGGCGGTGACGGGATTACCAAGCAAACATCATCATCATCAGTGGCATCACAGTCATCATCATCATCATAGCCAGCGTCTGCAGCATCCCCACCATCATCATCATCAGTAGCAGGATCGGCGTCATCATCATAATCATCATCATCAGTAGCAGGATCGGCGTCATCATCATAATCATCATCATCATCACTCTCATTAGCCGCAGGACCATCAGCATCATCGGTAACTAAACCACCATCATCATCACCATCATCAATCACTCACCACCACCACCACCATCATAATCACTTTAGTATTGAAAAATTGCGTAATATTTGCAGTCACCTCCCAACCGGACAGCGTGATGAATCGATGGACTCTTTTACACCGCGAACATTCAACACAACATCGCAAAATCGTTACTGGGAATAAAAACCATAATAATAATCAACAACCATTTGAAAATACTTGTCACGAGCGAATCGGTTTGTGTTCTGTGTTGTCCCTGCTGTGAACGCAGCCGCCGCGCCAAGATTTTAACTCAACGATTCAAATCTCTCACCCTCCCTTCTCTCGCTCACTCGATCGCTCCCTCTCCATCTCTCTCTCTCTTTCTCTGGCTTCCCCCACCCCTTCCTCTCTCTTTTTTTAGATCAGAGGAAGCAAGAATATGCTCGGTTTAGTCGGCACTTTGCTTCGTTCATCATTTAGTTATTTTTAGTTTGTTTTGTTTCCACTGCTTTGCTTTACGTCATCTGATGATGATGATGGTGGGGGATGCTGCAGACGCTGGCTGTGATGATGGCTAATATCATGACACTGCCACTGACGATGGTGATGATGACTGTGTACTTACGCTGCCAGCGGCTCAAACTCAACGTTCCGCCTTTTGGGGGACATCTTCAGGAAACTGGGAGTGCCCTTCTACAGCAGCAGCTTCGTATATGGGGTGGTGCCTTACCTGGCTAACAAGCGCCATGACCTCGCCAACTTCGCCTGTGCTCAGGCGAAGTTGGCGGTGTACAGAACGAGGAAGAAGACGCTGCAAGGTGACACTGACGGCTGCTCTGTGCTGCTTCCAGTGTTCAGGGGCCTGCTCAAGGCGCGGCTGCGGCTGGAGCACGCCACGTACCACACACGCGTGTCGGTGATGTGCAGCGCGTCTTCTTCGAACGCTGGGGAGTCGGACAAGCCCCTCTCTGTTACCAGCGTGGACGGCACCACCCCACGTGTTCACCTTCTGAAGCGCTCGCTCGTCACCGTGGCGTACGCGATGAACACCACCACCACAACCACCACCACCTCCAGCACCACCACCACCACGTGGCTTTTATTTCGTGTTGTGCGCGCTGCATTTCACGCCGCAGCGCGTGGATTTATAAAGATTATTTGTGATGCTGGTGACTTTGTGTATTTCATATCGGAATCGCCTCCAGTGCTGTTGCTGCTGGCGGCAATAAAAGTTGTTTAAAAGTGAAAAGTATGTGTGCCCACCCCCTCTCTCTCTCTGTGTGCCCCCCTCTCTCTCGTTCCCTCTCAATCTCTCTCTCTATGCCCCCCCCCATCTCTCTCTCTCTCGTTCCCTCTTTTTCTGTGTGTGTCCCCTCTTTTTGTTTACGATCAGAGTAAACAAGAAGATGCTCGGTGTAGTCGTCACTTTGCTTCGTTCATCATTTTTTTATTGCTTTGCTTTATGTAAACCCCCCCCATGTATCTCTCTTTTTTTCGTTCCTTCTCTCTCTGTGTGTGCCCTCCTCTCTCTCTCGTTACCTCTCTCTCTCTCTGTCGTTCTTTCTCTCGTTACCTCTCTCTGTGTGTGTGCGCCCCCCTCCCCTCTCTCTCGTTCCCTCTCAATATTTCTCTCTCTATGCCCCCCCCATCCCTCTCTCTCTCGTTCCCTCTCTCTCATTCCCTCTCCATATGTCTCTCTCTCTCTGTGGCTCCCCCCCTCCCTCTCTCCCCCTCTCTCTCGTCCCCTCTCAATCTTTCTCTATCTCTCTCTTACCCCTCGCCCCCACCTCTCTCCATCTCTCTCCCTCTCGCCTCGCTTCCCTTTCAAATCTCAAATTCTCATCCCCAATCTTCCGCGAAACCGTAAATCAGAACCGGCCGCTATTCCGGCCCACGCTGCTAAACGGCGACACGCACCGACCAACTCGCTCGCTCGCTCTCAGTTACCCACTCATTCACTCATTCACTTACTCACTCATTCACTTACTCACTCATTCAATTACTTCCAGCCCGGCGTACTCGATGATGGCTCACTGTGTTATCTAGCAGAGACGCACTGGCCACCGTTTTCATCAATTTCGCTTGTAAAAAAAAAATAACTAATCAACATACCTGTGTGTGTGTCAATAACGGTTTAACACCTAGGCCTTCGCGACCAAGATCATCCATAAGAGAGGGGGGTGTGGGGGGGGGTTGGGTTAGATCGCGTAAGTAATATATAAATATTGTGTCGTTAAACCCGCCACCACCCGACACAGCCAACTAGTAAGGGTTGTCACGTCAACAGAACGTGGCCAATTCGTCACTAGTACAGCACTAGTGTATAGTGTAGTGTATAATGTAGTGTATAGTAGTGTAGTATATAGTAGTGTAGTGTATAGTGTAGTGTATAGTGTAGTGTATAGTGGTGTAGTGTATAGTGTAGTGTATAGTGTAGTGTATAGTGTAGTGTATAGTGTAGTGTATATTGTAGTGTATATTGTAGTGTATAGTGTAGTGTATAGTGTAGTGTATAGTGTAGTGTATAGTGTAGTGTATAGTGTAGTGTATAGTGTAGTGTATAGTGTAGTGTACTAGTACAGCACACCGGTTGTGTGTTGGAGAGCCAAGCCACAACATTGACAAACTGAGTACGACGTTTCGCCAGCAATTACAACTAGCTTCATCAGGCGACAACCGTGTGTGTGCGTGTGTGTGGCTTTGCAAGCAAAATACTAATTATGGGCGACGATTCGGGCAATGACCCTTAATTCATGGGCTATGAGTGAAATATATAACGGTGGCGATTTGGGAAATGGCCTTGCTTCGGAGCACATCAAGAAGGGCTGTTGCCCGGAACGTCCCCTGTTGTATACTTGTTCCTGTTTAATGCCACGCGCGATGTTGTTGTTGTCGCGAGATGTGTTGTGTTGTTGTTGTTGGCAAGGGACGTGTTGTGTTGTTGTTGTTGACACGTGACGTGTTGTGTTGTTGTTGACACGTGACGTGTTGTGTTGTTGTTGACAAGGGACGTGTTGTGTTGTTGTTGTTGACACGTGACGTGTTGTGTTGTTGTTGACACGGAACGTGTTGTTGTTGTTGTTGTTATTGTTGTTGACACGGGACGTGTTGTGTTGTTGTTGTTATTGACTGTGCTTTTGCACCACCGCCAATGCCTCATCATCAGCAGCAGAAGCTGCACATTGCTTCATGAATAATTAGTGGGGGAGCGGTGGCGCTGTGGTTAGCGCACCTTTCGATCCCCGGCCACGGCTAACGTCAGTGACGTGCGACATCTGAGCTACTCCTCTCCCTTCGCCGACTTCGCAGTGACCAGCGTGGTGAAGTATGGTCAAACAACCCCCCTCCCCCCCCCACGATGAACCGACAGCGGATTGACAACGACCGCTGACGCCGACGCGACTAATGACTGTCCAGGTACGAACGTCCGACCGTGAATTGCGGTAGAGGCGCAAGCCCTGAAATTTCCGGCTCACGCCACCGCCGGTCAAAGATCCTCAGCACCAGAGGGAGCTCTTGGACAGCCCCATCAATGGAGAGCATTTGGCCTACTCTTCCCACGCCGAGCCCCGTGCGTCTTGTGAGACGTGGAAACCCACGGTGCCCCACACTTCACTCCACCCACAAAGACTCAGACTCATGGTCGTTACACTTCGCTGTAACCGCTGGGTGGCCAGAGAGGAATCACATTTTTGTCGCCTCCCCCACCCCCCCCCCCCCGAATTGTTTCAAGTGCCTCGCCGGAGACGACAGGAATTGAAACCGCCTGTGCCCGGGGACTCATTAACGCGACGGAAAGCGATGTCCAACTCTGAGAGTTGAGACCCCACCACCACCACCGCCGCCGCCGCGCTTAGAGCAACTGAGTATTCGTCCGTGGCCGAGACTGCGGCTGCTTCGATCTTAACCAGCGAGCCCGAGAAGCGCCGCCCCTCCGTGTCGCTCCCGAGAGGCCTCGCAAAATGTCAAAGGCACTCGCCGCTCAACTTTGACAACTCCCACCATTCCCATCTCATCCCAATCCCATCCCAAACCCCAATCACACCCCTCCCCACCCCCATCCCATCCCATCTCATTGTGAGTCTATGGGTCTCTGTGTGAGTCTATGGGTCTCTTTGAGAATCTTTGGGTCTATGGGTCTCTATGTGAATCTGTGAGTCTTTGGGTTTCTGTGTAAATCTCTGGGTCTATGTGTGAGTCTATGGGTCTCTATGTGAGTCTATGGGTCTCTTTGAGAATCTGCACGTCTATGGGTCTCTGTGTGAATCTGTGAGCCTATGGGACTCTATGCGGATATGTGGGTCTCTGCGTGAATCTACGGGTCTCTGTGTGAGTCATTGGTGACCAGGCTGAGACCATAAGCCCACTGCACTATAGAACCCGGTTAGAACACAGGCAGCCGCTGGAACCCGGATTCGAACCCAGGGTCTCAGCGTCTCCGACCTCTGAGCCACCGGGAGTCTCTTTACAATTGCGGCTCTTTGTTAATTACATACTTACATCTTTTTTTTGTTACAATGAGGTTCTAAAGGTTCGGCGCGATTTTGAGAAATGCATAAGTAAAAATTGGCGAACCCATTTTAAATATAACGACTACGGAAGGTGGGAGGGAGGGGGAGGGGGTAAGGAGAGTGAGGGAGGGAGGGAGGGGAGGAGGGGTGAGGGAGGGAGGGAGGGAAGGAGGGAGGGGAGGGAGGTGGAGGAGGGGAGGGAGGGAGGGGATGGAGGGGAGGGAGGGGAGGGAGGTGGAGGAGGGGAGGGAGGGAGGGAGGGAGGGGAGGGAGGGAGGGAGGGAGGGGAGGGAGGGAGGGAGGGAGGGGAGGGAGGGGAGGGAGGGAGGGGAGGAGGGGTGAGGGAGGGAAGAATTGGGAGGGAGATGAAGGGGAGGAGGGGGTGAGGGAGGGAGTGGATGAGGGTGGGAGGAAGGGGAGGAGCTGGTAGGGAGGGAGGGGAGGAGGGAGGAGCGAGGGAGGGAGGGAAGGATGGGGAGAGGGAAGGAGCGGAGGAGGGGGGAGGGATGGGGAGGGTGGGAGAGCGAGGAGGGAGGGAGGGAGAAGCGTGGAAGGGGGGGATGGAGGGAGGGAGAGATCAGTTTCACCCATCGTTGGGTCTATAAAAAAGAGCTAGTGGGCAAATTTAATTTAATCAAATTAGACTCCGCTAGAAATGGTCTAATAAATTCGGCCCCTATCCCCGTGTATATAAAATAAATCCATATGAACTGTTCCGTAATACCTAAGGAACACTTTCATCCGAGCCGCTGTGATTGAAAGAGCCCAGTCTCTTAAATCGCGGCGCACGCTATGAAATATGAAACGTGGAAAAGTCGATCCGTTTGGTAGAATAAAAAAAAGACAGACAGAGAGCGCGAGATAGAGACTTTGACTTTTAAACAACTTTTATTGCCACCAGCAGCAGCAGCACTAGGAGGCGATTCCGATATGAAATACACAAAGTCACCAGCAATAAAATGAAAATAAACGCTATAAATCCACGCGCTGTGGCGCTAAATGCGCCGCGCACAACACAAAAGAAAAGTCACGTGGTGGTGGTGGTGGTGGTGTTCATCGCGCACGCCACGGTGACGAGCGAGCGCTTCAGAAGGTGAACACGTGGAGGGTGCCGTCCACGCTGGTACAGAGCGGGGCTTTTCCGCCCCCCCAGCGACGAAGAAGACGCGCTGCACATCACCGACACGTGTGTGTGTCACGTGGCGTGCTCCAACCGGAGCGGCGCCTTGAGCAGGCCCCTGAACACTGGAAGCAGCACAGAGCAGCCGTCAGTGTCACCTTGCAGCATCTTCTTCCTCGTTTTGTACACCGCCATCTTCGCCTGAGCACAGGCGAAGTTGGCGAGGTCATGGTGTTTGTTAGCCAGGTAAGGCGCCCCCATATATACGAAGCTGCTGTTGTAGAAGGGTACCCCCAGTTTCCTGAAGATGTCCCCCAAAAGGCGGAACATTGGTTTGAGCCGCTGGCAGCGTAAGTGCTGGTGGGGCAGATCCTCCATTGCACCGCAGGAGATGCACCAAGTCTGTTACCCCTGGCTAGATTCGGCTGAGCCACACGGCCGATGGCAACGTGCAGTGTGCCAATCTCCACTGGAGGTCACCGCAGCGTTTGGCTACGGGAGACTTGCACATTTGTTTCCAATTGGGGGCGGCCGCAATGAGGGCAGAGAAATGGTCTCTCCATTTTGTGTCTGGTAGGTCAGCCAGGTCCCGGGAACGCAGCGCCTTGACACAGTCACGTGCAGAGCGCTGTGTTTGGGGAACTCTTCAGGGGCACGTTCCTGCAACCTCGGAGCTCCAGTAGCTTGCCGGAGTCGCTGTGGCCTGGAGGCTGCATGCAGGAGAAGCACAACTCCGGGAAGGAGGAGGAGGGGGTGGGGGGGGGGGGGCGCCACCGTCCCCTAGCGCCTCCAGCTTCAGGCGCAGCTCCTTCATGGCGCGGAGCGACGTCCCGCAGCAGCTTCTCCCCGGCGAGCAAGGAGCGGAGTCCCGCGGTGCTGGCGATCTCAGCTGGGGTCTTCCACTTGGGCTGGTGGGCCTGTACGAGGTGGAAGACTGTCCGCAGCCCTGCTGATGTGAGGCATAGAGCGAGGGTCCTCTCTCCTCTTATCACCTGGAAGAGGTCGTTGCAGAACAAGGGCTCGTTCAGGAACTGCGCGAGGTCGTAGAGCGTGTACGTTTGGCTCACCAAGAATCTCCGCCATGCGTCCAAGAGGCTCCGGTGATAACCTGAGCCTGAAGCTCGTGACCCTGGCGGCGACATCCACCAGACCCTGGCCGCCCTCGCCCACCGGCAGGCAGAGAACGCCCGGCCTGAGCCGGTGCTTCCCATGCCAGACGAAGTGCGCGAGTGAGCGGTTGACTCTAGTGAGTAGCCAAGCAGGAGGCTGGAGGGCCATGGTCTTGTGCCACAGCACAGATGCAGCCAGGGTGTTAGAGACGAGCACTCGGCCCCTGAATGACATCTGCGGAGCGAGGCGTGGTGCCCATGTCAGTCATTTAGCTTCGATTGTGTCGGCCAGCTCGGTCCAGTTGTTTAGAGCGACGTCACGTGGTTTCCCCAGGTAAACCCCCAGGTACTTGACTCCGTCGTCCCGCCAAACGACTCCTACTGGGAGGAGCAAAGGGCCTCGCACTTGGCCCAGTTGACCCTGGCGGAGGAGGCCCTCTCGTACACTGCAACCGCCTGGCAGAGCACGGAGGCATAATGTGTGTCGTTGAGCACGACGCATGACGTCGTCTGTGTAAGCCGAGAACTTGACAACCGCGTTCTCAGGTCCCGGGACCTTGAGGCCAGACAGGTTTCATCTCAGGTGGCGTAATAGTGGCTCAACGGACAGGGGGTACAGCAGCCCCGAGAGGGGGCATCCCTGTTTGACCCCCCTCGTCACAGGGAAAGGGGCGCCGAGCCGCTGGTTTATCTTCAAGAGGCTGGATGTGTCCGTGTACAGGAGCCTCACGTGCGAGATGAAGGCCTGGCCGAAGCCGAGCGACGTTAGGAGTTTGTCTAAGTGCTCGTGGCTCACCCTGTCAAAGGCCTTCTCTTGATCCAAGTCCATGTTGTGCGCCTCTGCAAGGGAGATTATGTTTTTGACCGTACCGATGTTGTCGTAAATGCACCGGCTGGAGATGCAGTACGATTGTTCCGGCAGGATCAGCTGATCCAGCACTGTCTTGCGACGGTTTGCCAGCACCTTGAAGGCGCACAGGAGGGACACGGGTCGCCACATTCTCGACAAGGTGCAGGTCCCCCTTCTTAGGTAGCAGGGAGACCACCCCCGAGCAGGTTAACGCTGCTGCCGTTGACGTACAGTCGGTCGAGCCTGGCAAGGCTTATCCTGCCTTGAGAGCCGCATCGGCACCGAGAGAACTGCCGCTGGGCTGGATGCTGCAGTCGCCACACGTCACGCAGATTCAGTCTCCGCGAGAGGTCGGCAAGCGGCGTGAGGTTCGGCGGTGTTGCGGTCGAGAGCCGGGTCGAGGGCGCAGTTAAAATCTCCCCCCACGACGGTGAGCAACGTCGTCCACGTCGTCGGTCGAGAGTGCGTCCCGCAGCGCGCCGAAGAAGAACTTCCTCTCGGGGGCCTTGCTCGGCGCGTACACGTTAAAGTACCTGAGGCTGGAGTTATTCAGGACGAAGTCGACAGAAATCAAGTGACCTTTGATGAGTTCTCTGAAGGAGACGTTCTCTGGTGCAAACCGCGAACTGAGCACAATCGCCAAGCCGGCGAGGTTGTCCTCTGCGTGGCTGAAGAAGGCCCGGCCGCCTAAAAAAGCTGGGGTTGGGCCTCCAGAGAGAGTGACATCGAGGTGAGTTTCCTAGAGGAAGAGTCACATTTGCTTTGCTCCCTGACAAAGCGGCAGATCTGGTCCCACCTCTTGTCACTGCGAGCGTTGTTACAGTTCAGACTTGCAACCTTAATAGCTGAAGTCAACATACTCTTTGGTTATTTGGTAAAGTCACGTAGGTAGAAAAATAAAATAAAATAAATAATAATACATCACGACGTTTCGATCGCAACACAAGCGGTCGTCCTCAGGCGGAAAAAAATGATCCAGCAGTAGAACTGCTGAACCAGGAAGAACACAGCGAGAGAGCTGTTACAACAAGATGTTATATACGTGGTCGAAGGACAAGCAGGCGAGGTCTGAGCTGGAAAGTAATTCTATCCCCGCATGCAAGCACGTCAGTTGTGTTAATGGGGGAGATTAAGGAGAGAGAGATTATGGAGAGAGATTAGCATGAAATGAGCTCCGTCGCCGCATAAGAGTATCGTCCCCGCATATGCGCACAACAGCAGTGTTAATGGGAGATTAGCACTATGTTGATAGGAGAGGTTAGGCAGGGAGATTAGGGGGGATTAGCAAGTTAATGTCACGTCTATGTGTAACACAAGCTGCGGTGCTGCCAACGGCGCTGTGAGAGGCAAGCGCGTCCACGCAAGAGAACCACCGCAACGGTGGTCGCACCAATGAGACACAAAGCCCATCACACAGCCAGAACCATTCATACATCGAGGCGAAGGGAGCAGAGGTGGCCATGTTAGTGAGACCCCAGCCCGTTAATGCAGAGGCACCCAACAGGGCAATGCAACTCAGAGAGTCGGAGATAACAGCCAAACGGCAGGGAAGATTGGAAGCACCACAGCAAGTTACGACTTAGCTTGGTTAATAACGTCCTTCCAATGACTGCTCAGCTTATACCCATCTTCTCGGTTGAAATTGTTTATATATCGAAACGTCGTGATATATTATTTTATATTTTATTTTTCTACCTACGTGGCTTTACCGAAAGAACCAAAGAGTATGGATTCCTGCAGTCACGAAAGCTCCAAATCAAGATTGAAGCCATCATGTTGTGGTGGTGGTGGTGGTGGTAGTGTTAACAGTAACTGTGGAGGGCCAGGTTACTTCTGAGCAGAAGTAAGCTCACCCTTCGCCTTGCGCATGAATGCTTTTAGGCGGTAGCATTTCTGAGTCGAGAAACCAAACCTGTCCCTATTGTGGCAAATTTGTTGGGATGGCTTTGAGGAAAGCGGTGAGGTCAGGGACCCTGACCCTGACTCTACGCTTCCTGAAAGTTTTCCCGAGGAAGCTGTGGATGTCTCCAGGTGAGTAATCGCACTCGCCGTTGACTTGTGAGTAGCTGAGCTCGCTCACGTCGTCCTCTCCTTCGGTCTCCGACACCTCGTCGTCCGAGTCCTCCAGCTCGTCAAACAGGTGACTCGGCAGAAACCTCGTTTGCCGTTGATGATGGCAGGGGCTCATTGGGAAGAGGGTCGCTGCCCTCTGGTAGTGGAGGTTCTGTTGCTCTCCCCTCGGGTGAGGCGAGCCGGCCTTCGTCGCCTCCCTGCAGCGTGGCGCCGATAAGGCGCCGCACCGGCCGGTGGTTCCTCTTGCCCTGAGGATGCTCAGGCGGCGTGCGGCGGTGGCGGTGGCGGTGCCGGCGGCGCCTTTGCCAGCGTGCTGTCCTCAGGCGAGTCGCCATCGAGCATGTCTTCATATTCAACCCCCGCAGCGTCGTCCAGGACGGCGCTCGCTGGGGGCGCGTTGCTTGGCCTCCTCCGCCGTGGGCGGGCTTCACCCTAGGCTTTGCACGAGGTGACGAGGGTGAAGTCGTCGGCATCCTCTTCGTCGGTCGGCGGTTACGGTGCAGTGGTGGTGGTGCAGTGGTGGTGGTGCAGTGGTGCAGTGGTGGTGGTGCAGTGATGGTGGTGCAGTGGTGGTGGTTATGGTGCAGTGGTGGTGGTGCAGTGATGGTGGTGGTGCAGTGGTGATGGTTATGGTGCAGTGGTGGTGGTGCAGTGGTGGTGGTGCAGTGGTGGTGGTGCAGTGGTGGTGGTTATGGTGCAGTGGTGGTGGTGCAGTGATGGTGGTGGTGCAGTGGTGGTGGTTATGGTGCAGTGGTGGTGGTGCAGTGATGGTGGTGGTGCAGTGGTGGTGGTTATGGTGCAGTGGTGGTGGTGCAGTGATGGTGGTGCAGTGGTGATGGTTATGGTGCAGTGGTGGTGCTGCAGTGGTGGTGGTTATGGTGCAGTTGTGGTAGTGCAGTGGTGGTGGTGCAGTGGTGGTTAATGTGCAGTTGTGGTAGTGCAGTGGTGTTGGTGGTGCAGTGTTGATGGTTATGGTGCAGTGGTGGTGCTGCAGTGGTGGTGGTTATAGTGCAGTTGTGGTAGTGCAGTGGTGGTGGTGCAGTGGTGGTGGTTATGGTGCAGTGGTGGTGGTGCAGTGATGGTGGTGCAGTGGTGGTGGTTATGGTGCAGTGATGGTGGTGCAGTGGTGGTTGTGCATTGGTGGTGGTGCAGCGGTGGTGACGGTGCAGGGGCGTGCGTGCACCCCAGGTTAAGAAGACCCACTGCGTTAAATCATCGCGCACAGGTGCGAGAAAAAAAACGCCTTGCGCTCGATAGAACCACGCGAATAGCAAGCCAATTAAACGTGTTGTTGATATTGTTATATATAGGGAGAGGGGGGGGCGGGTGGTGTAATGAGTGGGGGGCGAGAGAGAGAGAGAGAGACGTCGAGTAAGAACGTCGCTCGTGCGCGTAACTCGAGTGACGGAGCGTGAGAGACTCGGTGCGCGAGTGAGAGAGAGAGACAGAGAGAGAACATTGACACGGACCTTTGTTGTTGTTGTTGTTTAGGAATGAGATTAGGTGCAGGAGGAGTGGTGGGCGGAGGGTGGGGAGTGGGGCAGCTTGAATGGCACTGAGTGGGGGGCAAAGGACGCGGAGAGGACGCTTGGCGATTATGATTGGGTGGTGGTGGTGCAGTGGTGGTGGTGCAGTTGTGCAGTCGTAGTGGTGGTGCAGTGGTGGTGGTGCAGTGGTGGTGGTGCAGTGGTGGTGGTGGTGCAGTTGTGCAGTCGTGGTGGTGGTGCAGTGGTGGTGGTGCAGTGGTGATGCAGTGGTGGTGGTGCAGTGGTGTTGGTGGTGCAGTGGTGGTGGTGCAGTGGTGTTGGTGCAGTGGTGGTGGTGGTGCAGTTGTGCAGTCGTGGTGGTGGTGCAGTGGTGGTGGTGGTGGTGCAGTGGTGGTGCAGTGGTGGTGGTGGTGCAGTGGTGGTGGTGGAGCAGTGGTGGTGCAGTGGTGGTGGTGCAGTGGTGGTGGTGCAGTGGTGGTGTTTTTTGTGCAGTGGTGGTGGTGCAGCAGTGGTGGTGCAGTGGTGGTGCTGTTCTCCAACCCCCTATTCTGAATCAGGTTGTGAGCGTGTCAGTGTGTGAGTCAATGTGTGTGTGTGTCAGTGAGTGAGTCAGTGAGTGAGTGTGTCACGACCTATAAGACCACCCCCCAAGGTTGACTTAACAGCGACTGGGGAGACAAAGGCGGCCGGGCGTGGTGATGGCCACCCACCCTCTCCTTTGGCCATGTCGGCTTTCGTGGGTTCTACTCGCTCACAGCACTAGTCCCATCAGTCCGCTGAAGGATATACGAGCGATCGCAAGCCTTTTGTAGAGTGTGTACGCTTCTCCGTCTTGATTCTGCGTGAGTTGCCCTGCTGATTTCGCTGCTTTATACCCATGGCTAAAATAAATCCGGGCATTTGTGACCGAAAATAGGGGGTTTTTCCCCTTTTTTTTCTGGCAACAAAACAGCTGTGTTAACATGTTAAAACGCCAAACTGAAACCTTTTAACGAGGAATCATGTACTGCATTAACCGCAACGCTTGTGGTCAGAACGCAAATTAAAAAAAAAAACACACTCTAAGCGAGTAGGACCCACGAAAGCCGACATGGCCAAAGGATAGGGTGGGTGGCCATCACCACGCCCGGCCGCCTTTGTCTCCCCAGTCGCTGTTGAATCAACCTTGGGGGTGGGGGAGTCTTATAGGTCGTGACTCACTC